TTCTTTTGCTGGTGGCTCAGGCTCTATAACAGGATAAAAAATCTGTCAGAAATCTTGTACAATCCTATGTTGTACAATATTGTATCACACAATCAATCATACTGTCACTTGATACCTTTGGGTGGTGGAGGCTCAACTTTCTTTGGTTCCTCATTTCTGATTCCATCTGTCCATGATGACTGGCCACTGTCATTCCAAGATGGTTCCTGATGACTGTCATTCCAGGATGGTTCCTGATGACTGTCATTCCAAGGTGGTTCCTGATGACTGCCATTCCAAGAGGACTCTTGATGATTATCATTTCATGATGCCTCCTGGTAACTGTCATTCCACACTGGCTGCTAGGCTGGGTAATAAGGCTGGTCCTTCACTGCAGCTGACAGGTCATTGACCATTGGTTCAGTAACTTGTTGTGACACAGGAGGACCTGGCACAAAGGAAGGTTGCTGTAGAGGAGGATTTGCTGCAGATGAAGGCTCTGACCAAACGTCTGGAGGTTGGGATGCAGCACTTGAAGGAAGCTGCTGCATAGATGAAGTTCCTCATACTAAAGGCTTTTCAGGCTGAGTAGCTTCTGGATCCATACCACTAGACCATGAATCTTGATGATGACCAGTAGCTGAGTGCAGTCTTTTGGGAGGTGCTGTTTCAGCTTGCTCTGCCCCCTGATGTTTGGGGGTAAATATAATTCTTCTTGGTGCCTTCCAGATGCCACCAATGCCTTTTCTGATGCCTCCATTGTTTATTACAGCAGTAAAAGATATAGGTGCAATCAACACTTTTGAAAAATTGCTTAACATTTTATTTAGCAAAGTATACTGTTGACATTTCGGCTTTACAACACCAACTACAACTGATATGTTTCTACATGAACTATAAAAGTTGTTTCTCTACTTGTATTTTGATGTTTTCTTCTTCCCCCGCTCATCACCCATGATGAACTAACTCCCAAACTAGACCCTGTGAGCAGGGTTATTGGAATACCTGGATGGTACTGGATCTTAGGGATCAAGTGTAGTGATACCACAGGTGTCGGATACTGAAATAGTGAGCTCAAGTCTGACAAAGGGCATACACCTATTACAAAAAAGGTTGTCATCAGGCAATAGGTGATAGGTCATTCCAAGACAGAAAGGAATCATGGGTATACAACTCAGGAAATAGTTCTTGCTGAGTGTTGTACATTTGTTTTTTTAACTGGATAACAGTTTTTCTGTATAGTATTCTGTTATAAGCAGAGCAAATATAATATGAACCTTCCCTAATCTTACTTTGAAAAGCTGTGATCTTATGATCTAAATCATGTTGAACTGAGTGTCTATGGGCTTCCTTATTAGCTTGGACTTGTGATTTACTTTTATCTTTGTCTACAGGATCCAGTGTTTTCTACCATTCTGCTCTGCCAGACAAAAGTTTTCCTTTTTCTTCTGGATTCAATGACTTATACCATTCTGCTCTTTTTTGTTTTTGTGCAGAATAATTGAGCAAGTTAAACCATTCTGTTCTCATTTGTTTTTGTGCAGTATCCAGTGATTTATACTATTTGCTCTGCTAGAAAAAAGATTATGTTTTTCTGCAGAACCAAGTGATTTATACCAATCTGCTGATTTGGACAAAAGCTTTCCTTTTTCTTCGGGATCCAATGATTTTTTTCATGGCAGGTTCCATATGTGCATAGCTTTCTTTTTTCTTTTTGCATGTAGTTCTTTCTGACTATGAGACTTATGTTTTACCATTACCTTTTGTCTTCCAGCATTTGAAAAGTTAGTTGAACAACATATAAATTTAATACAATATTCTATATATTTACTCTGGAATTGTTTTTTTTACAACATCCACTAATGAATGAATAAGAAAATCTATGTCATTCATTTTTTCAAATATATGAAGTGTGCCATTAGGACTGAACCTTATAATATAGTACTTAACAATAAATTATTTTGCTTTTGTTTTCATATTATTGTGCTAAAAAATAAAGTTGAAGAAATATTTTGAAACCACTTTAAAAACCCGGTATTATCCTTAGTATTATCTGTGATTAACTTATGAATCAATAATATGCTACCAAGAGATGTACAGCATATTATTCCTTGTTTCTCCAAATTAAAGGTAATATTAATATCTGCATCATATATTTGAAGTGTCCATGGGAAATTGTTGATAGTCAGTGGATGGTTATCACCATTGAGTTTTTCTTTGTAAAACTTGTTTGCAAGGTCAGTGTTCTATCTAGAGTCTGTGAATTCCATTACCCACAATATTTGATAATAGACTGAAAAACAAATGCTATAAAAAGATGTGGCACAACAGTATAACAAGGGAATATGAATAGTTGTAATTTCAGCATCTGCATGATTTGCTTCAAGGGGGACAGCTGACAACTGTTGATCAGAAATATCTGTCATATCAAACTGTTTTTTATAAATATGTACACCCTTGAGTTCAAATAAAACGTTTAGATTTTGATTAAGACCTTGAAAATAGCTTATCAGCTCATTTAAGATGTTAACTTCTAACAGTACACAAGTTCCTTGTGGATGGGGCATACCATATAAATCTCCACCATGAGAATCAAATATCTTAAACTTAATTGCCACCACCATTACAGTAAAAACCTACCATAGTACTAGGGATTGTTGAAAGAAAGGAATTATAATTTTCTTCTAACAAAGCCTGCATAGCACTAGCAAATGACATACAATAATTGAAATCTTGTACTTCACAAGTACCATGTATAGTACCAGTACAGCTTGAACTATATTGAAGCTGATAATTAATATTAAACACTATTATCATTTCAGGTACTTCTGTTAACAGTAAATAGGATTGCCTGAATAGACTAGATAGACCAGAATACAATTCATTACCAGTGTTCTTGATATTAACCAAGTCCATCAAGGATACAATACCATTCCTCTTGTTAAATATGAGGGAAGTAAGTGACATGACTACACAATGTGTACCAGCATTTAACCCACGGCAGCTTTTGCTGAAGACATCAACAACTTTACGTAGACCACAAGACAATTGCGTAAACAATAGATAACATTATAACATTATACAAAAAAAAGCACAGGATTTTGGATCATATATTTATTAAAAAAAGAATATCCATACAACTGCAATGAAAACAAACACAAGATTCACCTTTCTGATCGTGAAATTAATACCATTCGTACTGCTATCGTAGCTACGTTCCTTGGTATCAAGTGAATCATGAACATGGCGTCTTTCTTCACAAGACTAGCGACTAACTACAGGAATGGCTCCGACCTGTGATTGAATGATAAAAATAGTAAAAGTAAATAAGTTATATCTTAACTCCTTGCTCGTGAGTATTGTTTAACCGTGTGTCTCGAAGCGAAACAATAAGTGTTATGTTTCGTGAAGGAAAACTAAACCGTCTATAATTTGGCCATGCCATTCCTTTATTAGCTATGCTATCCTGCAGCTGATCCTTAAACCAGCTATTTGACATCCTTGTATTATTGGTGGTGACGGCCACACATAATATGGTGGCCAAGAGCTGCCACTCAAAATTTTACAATTTTTCAAAGATTTAATAAAAAACAAAAGAAAAAATAAATCACAACTGAAAGTCAAATGGAACTTGGCTGCAAAACAAAGGAAAAAGAAATATGTCGGGCGAGGATTACAAAGACGAGAGATGTTAGATTTCCTCACTCGTGACTTTCCGCTTTACGCGTCGAGTCTAAGGATGCTTGATAGAAGGCTTCGTCATTTTGACATATTTTTCAATGATGGTACTTATAAAGTAGATCTAGTAATGAAGGCATTTGAAACTGAGCCAAACGGGCCTGGAAAGCTATCGGGATACCGCGCAATGCACAAAAAAATAAGGCAAGAGTATGGCTTAAATGTAACTAAAGATCAAGTTTACAATGCAATGAATGAACTAGATCCCTACGGATTCGAGGCGAGGGGATGTGTTGGTGGAGAGAAATTCGCACTTTTTCCCTTCTAACAGAAAATCAAGAACTGTTTTTATAAAAGTTTTTTTTTTTCCGAAACGTTCCTTGGTCAGTTTCGTCTCACTTCTTATTTGTAAATTCTAAGTAACATGACATCTCTCCATACACTGACAAATTTACACTTTCTTTTGTTTTTTTTTTTACATTGCGTGGTATCCCAATAGCTTTCCAGTCCCGTTTGGCTCAGTTTCAAATGCCATTATTTACTTTAACAGCACCATCACTGAAAAATATGTCAAAATGACGAAGCATTCTATCAAGCATCCTTAGACTCCACGCGTAAAGCGGAAAGTCACGAGGAAATCTAACACCTCTCATCTTTGCAATCCTTGCCCGACATATTTCAGCAAAGCCTCTTTAAGGTTGGAATTATTTTTCCACAAGGCCTCTCTGAAATCTGACATCAAAATACTAAAAAACTCTTCTAAATCACTCAAGATCAAAACAACTTCACAACTTGAGTAAATGGACACAACTCATGATGGGACATACAATCACGCCCGCATAGTATCATGGTAGTGGCAGTCCTCGGCTACGGTGATATTCACTTTGACTTTTGTTTTGATTTGATGTTGAGTTTATTTTTTATTTGGACGTGAATTGCCCTTGGATTTCAGTTTAATTTTGAAATTATTTTTACTTTGATAATGTAATTACTTTTGCTTTTAAATTTGATTGCTACTTCATTTTACTTTCAATTGTTCTTTTTCCTTTGTTTTGCAGTCACGTTCCATTTGACTTTCAGTTGTGATTTATTTTTTCTTTTGTTTTTTATTAAATCTTTGAAAAATTGTAAAATTTTGAGTGGCAGCTCTCGACCACCATACATGTAAGACCTATATAAGACGATACCTCGATGATAACAATAGTGACTGCTGCGCAAGCGCGGTAAGCACAAAAGAAAGAGAAAAGCCCGCTGACACTGTTATGGTCTTAACCTTGAAATTTGAAAGGGGGAAATTATTTCTTTAGGAGTCCAACAGGTTCGAAAGCTGAACCTGATTAAGAATGTTAACTCTGAAGGCGAGACTGTTATCAATCCTCGTATTAATGACAAAACTTGCCAGTGTTGAAGAACGTTTCAACAAAGGCGTTTGTGAATGGAGTTGTTCAGTCTCTACTGGCGAAGCACTGAGCGATGCCTTACTGAAAGAAAAACTGTTGAAGTTGGCTATCACGTATAAAGAGCGGGTAGATCTTGCAAGATGTGCCAACGAAACCAAATCGGATACAATCACCATTTCAACTGCAATGGTTTGGTTGAAGTCGTTCACTGACAACCAGACGTCTGCAATTGCGATTATTACACGGTCGATACTGGAAGTTATTTTTTCAGGGCAGTTCTTTACAGGTAGCCCCATAGAAATGACGCTGTCTTGTAATTTCGAGCTAACCTCAAAAAAGAACTCAACAAACGACAACCATCAACCATTAACGCCGCTCCACAGTCCGCTATCTATACTGTATTATGTCGAAAACCTTGCAAACTACTCTAAAACCAATTCTACCCTGGTTCTAATAAAAGTTGATAAACGATTTTGCATATATCTGGTTACTGCTGGTGCAGCAGGAAATCAAAGTTCTCACACCTTTACCAAGGATAGCGAGCTATTCACTTTTGAGGACAGTTGGCTTCCAATTTTAGTAATCATTTGGATTAGTTATGGTTTATATTACCCTTTGATATTTCGGTTATTTCGACCGTCAAAGCTCGAAGTCAAACTGCCAAAGATACATATCCCTTTGCCGGAATATCCAGTACAAGGAAAATACCGTGGAGATGACATGAAACCGTATAAGTTTGCAAGTCAAGACGACGATATCTCTTCGCTGAATTATCCGATACAATACAGTTTCCCTGAAGATGACATGAAACCGTATAAGTTTGCAAGTCAAGACGACGATATCTCTTCGCTGAATTATCCGATACAATACAGTTTCCCTGAAGATGACATGAAACCGTATAAGTTTGCAAGTCAAGACGAGGATATCTTTCCGCTGCAATATCCAGTACAAGAAGAATTATGGGCATATAACATGAGACCATATCAGTTTGCAAGTCAAGGCATGTATGAACCTTTGCTGGAATATCCAGTACAAGAAGCATGCAGTGGAGATGACACGAAATCATGTCAGTCTGCAAGTCAACCTTGCCCTACAGAACACGTGGAAGAAACAGATATGTCTCATCAGCCCAACGCCAAGAGTGAAAACTTGACAGACTCCATACGAAAAGCTGTCGCTCCATGTGGCGGGGGGAAAAATAGTGCTTCGAGTTTTGTCACGTCTTGCAAAATTCTAATCGATCAGGATACTGACGAGGAAAATTGTGGCCATGATGGAAGTGGTCAAGCTACGATTGAACGAAGCAGGCAACCAGACCAGTCATCTGTGGATGGAACTCCCGAGACCGATAACACAAGTGCCACTCAAGGTTGAGTATCATTTTTATTCTACCATTTTGTTTCATTGGGTTAGGGGATTTCTCACTAACTATTTAATTACCAAGAATTAAATTTCACCTGTAACTCATCTCTTGATCTTGATAATACAGATGATTATGGTTTGCACAATGGTGCCACCCCAGATGAAAGTGACCAAGATACAAGCGAAGTTGAAAGAAGGGAACAGTATCCTCCACGTAAGCAACCAGACCAGTCATCTCCTGTGGATAAAATTTCTGAGACTGATCACACACATGTCATTATTGTTGGAGAAACTAACCCTGTAGGAGTTGGGAGCTTCATAGGTAACAGTCTCTTCTCATTGTCAAACAAAAGCAAAAAAGTAATGGCTTTAAAGGTGATTTTCAGTTTTATTCTACCATTTTGTTTCACTGCGTTGGGGTATTTCTTACTAATTATGATACCAAGGTTCTCAAAACAAATATCAGCTGGTATGCCATCTCCCTTTTTTTTTGACTCAGTGTTTCACAGTACTATTAAACATCCTGCACTGTCAATTTTGGTTGTATTGTCAGCGTTGTGTTATGTGATTCAGTTAGTCTCTGTTTGTTACCTTTTCAGTAAAAATTCTGAGAAAACAGGGGTGTCATGTTCTCTCCACTCAAAAAGTTTCATTTGTGTTGTGTATGAAAAACTGAAATTGCTTTTGCCAGCGTTCCTTAATTATAAATCTCTTTGTAATCCAAGTACACCCTGTAGGAGTAGGCATTGGAACTGTTTCATATATGTCGCATGTTGTCAGCTTTGGAAAGGTCTGTCTATTTTTTTGTCTCCAGTTTATGAAATTTATGAGGAGAATGCTAAGGGATGTTTTGAATACTGTGAGATTCCACAGAATGCCTCTCTCACTATAGAAAAACAAGTGGATATTGCTATAGGCTACTGGAGTGCCTTTGTTGAGCGCTGTACCAGCCTCAACGTGAAGAATGTATGGGATATGTATAAAGTGATATTACACTTTATTAAAATTCTATTTAGCTCATTGGCAATTATACCTTTTGTTTTACAAATTATTTTTTCTTCTCCCCTGGTTTGCCTGTGGCACCAAAATCAATGGATTCTTAGAGAGCTATTCAAAAACAAGTCGCACTGTTCTTACTATATTTGTTCTCTTTTTTATTTTGTTATTTCTGTGTTTTCACTAGTTTGGCTGATATTCAGCTGGGGTATCTGTAACACTGTTCCGTCAGGGGTGCTTATTGTAGGTATTCTCAAAACATCTGCAAGTAACCCAAGTGCATTGCTCTCAGAGGTTATCATTGTAATAGTCAGTGTCTGTTTCCTCTGGAGTTATTATTGTGAATTTACCAAGTTTTACTTTGATCTGGTGTATAAACTGGGTTCTTCCTACCAGAAGAAATATGAAGAACTAACGAAAAAGCAGAAAGAAGATGTAGTCTTGCTTAATTATATACAGGGAGAGGAGGGACATTCTATCAAAGTAATTCCAGAAAAATTGTTTAAGAATGCTTGTAAGGATCGTAACCTACATATCAGGAAGCAGGTAGTACGTCTCTTGATTAGGTTGTTGATCGCATTTCTCGTGCTATCATTTGTGTGGCCAATCATAAGCAGAGAGGCAATCATGGCCACAATCTCTCCTTTGCCAGAGCTCTCCACTATCATAACGTTTTTTGTTGTGGCATGTCCCAGAATCGATTACCTTATCTTTGGGGAAAAATTTGAAGTCTCCACAGAGGATGCTGATAAGTTTGTCGATGATTACATTACGGAAATGAAGGGAGAAAGTATTCGTGATCAGCAATATGTACTTTAGCTTGCGGTGTGGATATGAAGTCAAGAATAATGAGTTTTAATGAGACCAAGAGAAATTACCTGTATGTGCTCCTGAGTGAGAGTGTGAAAGTTCTCCACTCCTCAAAATAAACTGAAGTTGTGTACTCTGGAAAGAGGAGCAGCAGAAACTACAGTCAGAATAATCTATGAGTCGAGATTAAAGGATCTTTCGTGTAGTGTTTACCCTGTTTCACAGGTCACAAATGTACTTCATTCACTTTGCCTTTATAGCAAGGAAAGCTAAATTGTAACTGAGAATACAATAACAGTATATCAAGTAAAGTGAGTGAGTCAGAGTGCTTTTCGTTTGAGTGTAGCAAAGCCACATAGAAGGTAATCATAATGGCCAATCAGAAGAAAGGAAAATACCTTTAAGACCCAATAAGAACTCAAAGTAATACAAGCAAACTTCTCTAAGTGCGGGAAAATGTGGGCGACCAAGTCGTGATTGGTTTTACTTTTGCATCTGCATTGGTTTGCAAAACCAATGCAATCCCAGATTACTTTCGGCTCTCATCTGAAAATTGCTCTATTTAGTAATTAAATTACTGAGTAAGTAAGCAAGAAAGTATGTAAGTTTGTAAGTAAATAAGTTAGTAAATAAGTTAATAAGTAAATAAATAAGTATGTAAGTTAGTAAGGAAATAAATATGTCAGTAAGTTATTAAGTATGTAAGTAAGTAAGGAAGTATTTTTAGTAATTATTTAAATAAGTAAGTAAACAAGCAAGTTAGTTAACAAGTTAGTTAATTAATACATAATTCTATTAGCAATAAACGTTTCTTCGAATTATGTGAAATGACTTCATCTGCCTTAACTTTTTGTAAACATAATGTGCAGTGTTGAAACGATTAAACAAACAACTTGCAAATTACTAAAGTTCCCTGTATATTTTTTGACATTTTAAGAATTAAAATTCTTTAAAAGTAAGAGGGGGTGACCTTTTGGTTAAGATTCAAGTCAACAACATCTGTTTAAGCATCACAGTAGTGATATCTCATTTTTTTTCTCCCACTGCACTCTTGAGCAGAGGAGACGTGAACTTGTCCAAACAACTGTGCATTGCTGCACACAACTGGAGTATCTTTGTTGAACTTCAAGTCAGCTCCCAAAAGACAAATAATTTTGCTTAACCCTTAACTCCAAAGATTTCTTTAGTAATTCTCCTTAATGTCTGTGATACAATTTATGTTATGTTAGTTTGGAGAATTTGGAATTGGATCAACCAATAATCCCTTAATTGATATTTTTCTTCACCCTTATTACTTGTCTGCTTGATATCATATTGATAATGTAAGGAGAAATTCTGTGTAGGTCACTGGTGGGACTTAAAGGGTTGAAGTATTTGGTTGCAGTGTTGTCTTGAATATTGCCCAGTGCCAATAATACCCCTTGCAATAAAAAATGTTCACTCATCTCCTATGTTTTGCTTAGGTCATGGACGTCAATTGCTTTTGAAAGAACAATTAAATAAATTCATAGGATCTACACGTACATTTGTTATTGATTTTTATTGCAGTATTTCGCTAGTTAGGATAATATCAATGTGGTGCATAGTTGCACTGTTCCATGGGAGATGGTTATGGCGGGTAATTTCAGGGGCCTCACGTAGTCAGGATTCTGTTCAATTTTTTTTCAAGTAGTCATCGTCATCGTTGTGCTTTGCCTAAGCTCGCTTGTAAATCGCACCGTTCTTCCCAGCCAATTTGTGTGAAAAGGGTCAAATAATCCGAAGTGGCAAAGCCCATGGGCAAGGCTGGGAGGGGAAGGAGGTGTTCTTTAACCATGTTTTATGGATGGGAATGCACTGCTGAACACGACACAAAATCTTCTCATTTCTTTCCTCATTTATGACTGTGATATATCACCCTCATACAACCACGTTTAGCCTTTTCAGACAGAATGTTTTAGTATCAGCAAGACCACCGCCCATGAATTGCTGGTCACGTCAAGTCACCCCAACATATCTAAAGTCAATGAAACCAATCAGGGCCAAGTCAGAACTCATATTTACTTTATTTATGGACAAAAGAGACCCACCCCCGTATCAATATTTACCTTTCGTAAATACAGCTATGATAAATTAGAGAAATTTTAGGATTCCAAGAAAAGAAATAAAGTAAAAGCAGTTAAATTTCCTTTGCTGTGAAATTCAATAAGTATAAACTATGAAAATCGAGATGTTAAAAAAAAGTTCTCAAAAAGAGCCATGCTTCGAAAAGATGATTGAAAAATAATGACAGCTGGTTATGACACTTAAACTGATTGTATGAAATGGATTAAAACAAGTTTCAGTAAATGTGATCATGCTACATACATATTTGAAAAATAGTGAATAAAATATCTCTACCTCTCAGAATGAAGTCAGCAGATTGAGACTTAACAAATGTCTACTTCAGAGCCATTATGGGAGACTTTTGAACAACAAAACTTAATCCCAAAACAAACAATAATAAATGAAAAGATAGAAATCAGCCCTCAAACCAAGAAAGAAGTCAGATTTATTCAGAAATGGGTTTGAAATGTGATAAGCTCAGCAAACCATACTGGGAGAACTATCAAACAGAATAATCATCCAGTACAGTCACTGAGAGACCACACATAACAAACCAGAACGCTGAACAAACTGACTTCTGACTGGAATTAAAGAGGAAGAGAGAAAAAAAATCCTTAACCTCAGAGACTAGCTAGTATTATTCAGAGGTGGGTTTGAAATGCGATAAGCTCAGCAAACTATACTGGGAGAGCTAAACAGAGAATAATCATCCAGTATAGCCACTGAGAGACCACGCATAACAAACCTGCCTACTGAACAAAAAAAAAAAAAAAACAAAAAAGAAAAAAAAGTGCAGAACAAACAAAACAAAAGCCTGAGCCATAATGACAGAGGTGACACTGTTGAATTATCTGAGATGGTATCACTTGCTGACTTCTTCCGAGCAAAGGCTAAAAATAAGACTGACATTTGAAAGAGATTGATACCAGAAATAATAAAATTAAGATAGTACAGAATTTTCTACTTTTTTTTTTTTTTTTTGACTAATAAAATAATGATGTCAAAGCCGGAGAGTGCGGCATTTTTTTTTTTGCTAAAATATTACTACAGATTACAGAGTGCAAGTTTGTTTAACTAATGGTACCTATAAGGTACATGATAAAGGTTTTTTTTTTTTTTTTTTTTTTTTTTAAAGTTAACTTAAAGAGCAGATAGTCCAATTTTTTTTTTTTTACTAAAGGAGATAACTATATAGATAAGTGTCTTAACCAAAGAGCAGAAGAATTGATAACAAATTTAAGGTAGACTGAGTAGATAAGGTAACTTGGAAGTTAAACTAATAAAGGTGGATTAAGCTAATAAAACAACAATTTTGGTGAAAAAAAAGGAAGCCTGGCTCTCATTAAAAAACATTCAAAGACAGCAAAGGATTCAGATCAAAATAATAAAGTGCAAATCTGTAGCTGAATTCAAAATAAAATAATCTTACATCTCAGTTGTGAAATAAAGTGCTGTTGGAATCAATACATTTTTCTTTGAGAAATAGGATTAAAATTGTCCAAAAGTGCCATAATTCTTATAAATAGTATTAACACCCCCCCTTTTTTTTTTTTTTGCTCCACCCATTAATTTTTATTTATTACAGTTAGAGGAATTGGAGATTTTGAAATATTTGTTTGGTTTGAAAAAAAAAAAAAAAAATCAATGTGGATTTTTTCATTTGATAACCACTGAAAACTTGATGAAAAAATCCCGATCAAAATGGGTCAGACCCAGAGCAGAATTAATTTTTGAGAGGAAGAATGGAAGTAGTACAGCTTAAATTCAAAATATGAAAATCAAGAGAAAGAGAGAAAGAGAAAGGAAGGAAAGGAAGGAAGCGGAAACGTGAATCATATGCAAAAACTTCTCAAAAATATCATAAAATTAAATAAACCAGACAAATATTTCAAAATCTCCAATTTTTAAATTAAATGTTTTTTTTTCGACAATTAGTTTTTCCGGATACCCGGATAGCGAGATTTTCTTGGTGAGGCCTGAGCCTGAGGCTGACTGAAGACTATTGGATCAAAGAACATAGGTGGAGGAACGGAATTGGTTTCTTGAGGGGGTGGGTCTGGGTCCTGCAATAGTAAAACAGAAACTGTCAAAGCTATCTCACCAACATTCTGGGCTTTCATCAAAAATTAGGACAGGAAAAAAAAAAAAAAAACCAACAACACAAAAGCCATTAGAATAAACCAACAAGGAGTAAAATTGGTGAGGGATGGTAGATTAAGATGACTTAAAAACATTAAGTGGAAAAAAGTCCAGTTATTTAGCAGATTAAGATCAGTATGTGAAATTAGTCAACTGTGAAAAGGAAAAGGAAAACCTGGTTTGATTTAAGCATTTTAAACAAGACTTAAGAAGTTAACTGCCAAAAGTTTTAATGACAGTTGAACTTTTAAAAGTGCAGTACAAGACTCATTGGCTTAATAACCATCAAAGAAATACACAGCATTTAATTAAAACCTTAAGTCCTTTATTTGTTATTTATTTCTTGTAAAATTTCCTTGAACTGCACAAATCATTAAACCTCTAAATTTTTTATTAGACAGAAAAGATGTGTTAAGTTTGTTATTAGGAAGAAAGAAATATGATGAATCATTAAAGGCAAGTTGAATGATTTTTAACTAAACAGAGAAATATTAGATCTAAAATGATTAAGTGAAAATATGATCTTTGGATGCAAGCATTGAAGTATAAATGGCCAACACTGATAAAATGAAAAGAACAACTTTAAAACTCAAACAAGCCCCATTCAGGTGAAATTTACAACTGCTTTCACTACACTTTTTTAAAATTTTTTTCACTGTCTATGGTTGCCCCATGGACTCTGCCTAAGCTGATCTTCCTACAGCAGTTGCTAGGGCAGAATTCAGTTAAATACCTGGGGCATC